TAATTTATTGTATATATAATTATTAAAAAAATATTTATATAATTGTATTTTTTTTAAGTACAATATGTACTTTTGGAAGAGATAAAAAAAAATATTTGAATTTAGATTTAATATGCGATTATTTCTTTTAAAAAAAATGTTGAATCAATTACAGACTAATTTTTAAATAAAATGTCAAAGTGAGTTGGAATTATACGATCTCATTTAGGAATTGGATTTTCATTATAGTAAAGTTGCTTTCTTTTTTTAAAAGATAAATAAAAATAAAAACATGAAATTAAGTAAATATATATATATATAGGAGAAAAGTTATGTATATGTTTTAAAAATTACTTTTCAATAAATAATCATTTTACTTTAAAATTCCTAAAATAATTATTTTTGAAAAAGAAAATTAAACCAAATATGTGTTAAATAAAATTTAAAGTAAAAGTTCTTTTAAATTTTTTTTTATATATATAAAAAGTTCTTTAAAGTTAAAAGTGAATAATGCTCACAATCTTGGAGACTAAGGTAAAATCTATTCACTTTAGAATATTTTCTTTTTGAATTGTACGGTGGGTGCTAAGACTAAGATGAATCTGTTGGAGCTTGCATTATACAGCAACATTACATAACTTATACTCTAAATCTGTCTGCTATAAATTCTTGTTCTATTTATTTACCTTTGCCCTGCCCAAGAACAAGGTTTCTGTTTTGTTGAATAAAAATAAAGATTCCTTTTAACTTAGTTTCAGGACAATAAATCAAATGTTGTATTGAGTGCCATTTCTTTTTAACATGATTATTAGAAACTCAGACAAGGAAAAATGTTTATTGAAAAAATACGAACCTCACATCCTATTTAATAAACGCCTCACATATTTCTGTAATTTAAATTAAATTCTAACCAATTAAAAATGATGTGTTGATAGCAAAAACGTTACCCCTTACACTCAGCAACTATAAAGTTCTCCTACATCTATATATCTGTTATAAGGTGATGAAAATAAAAAATTACAGCATTTTTCTTTCTTTTTCTAGTTTTCTACTTTTGAGGAGCACATAGTTTTGCTTTTTCTTTTGGTGAAGCATCATAGTCACTTTTGTCTGCTTAAAATTGGTCCAAATTATACTCTCATGCATTTTAAGTAGACTAATACATATCTTACAAACTCACCAAATAGCCAAATTCTAATAAATCTAAAAATCCTGGCAAGGAAATGGCAATTACTTAGCTAGGTTTTGTAATTCAGTCAGCTGACAAATAAGTGAAAGAATTGCAGTTTCTGCTTTCCATATTGTTGCATGAAAATATACTTGTACTTTGTAGGTCAAAAAGAATTCATATTCTTCCAAGGAGATAAAGAAGTCTAGCAAAACAGTGGTGAATTTTCAGATGCAACAAAGAGCTGCATCTAAGGAAAAAAAAATTTACTACTTTCTATAAATGTATATACAACAGCATCATGCCATTATAACATGTTGAAAATCCATTGGCAAACTCTATCTTCACAATGGTAGCCAATGTGATAAAGTGGGAAGTATCTACTATATCTAAGTTATGTAATCTCAATGTACAAGCTGTACAGTAGTTATACAGGACATGTCCTCACATTAGGGTAATGACTAATGCATTTCACAAGCATCACAGAGCCTTTTGATCAAGCCTCTCATTCCAGTTTAGGCAGCGAATCAAGCTACGGAACCAATCACCAGTTTGGTCAAACTTGTTAACAGTTGGAAGGGGATGTTGACTCATAGATATTCGGACCGAATCGCCTCTTGAGAGTTGCTGCCTTCTCTTCCCGTCGAATGAAACCCAGGCATTACTTCTAGCATCTTCTGGAATCTGTTAATAATAAACCCATTGTAACTAACATCCTTTTACTAAACCTTAAAATTGTTGATCACAAAGAACGGCCATGTCTCAGATCATATTTCATCATGAATCCTTTTTCTAACATAGCTTAAGGGAAAACATTTAGGAGACATGTCACAAGCCATGAAATAATAACATCTAATTCGAGAAACAAGAACATCCAATGTAGAGAGAATGATTAAGTTTACCTTTAATTCTAGTTGGGCAGAATCTGGAAGTATAACTGGTCTAAATGAGAGTGAATGTGGACAGATTGGGGTGAACAATATGCCAGGAACGTTTGGATGGACCTGCAGTATTTTGACATTAGATAAAAACATCCAGGAAAGCAATGATGAATTCCGGTATAAACTATGAAGCAAACATTGGTCCATATATTGTACTGAAACCATGCCATTATAAGATGTCAATATTGGAATTTAAGATTTAAGATATATACAGAATCCCACCCGGCCATCATTAATGTTTTCCATATATGGTGCAATGCTGTAAATACTAAAATATGGAAGACACGTAACCACTATTCAATTCCTACCTCTTGTGTAGAGAAAGTATGAGAGAAGCTTAGGTCAAAGGCAGGAATATCAGGTCAAAATACATCTAATAATTCCATGAGTAAACTATAACACAAGCTTACCATGGAACCTCCGGCAGCTGTAGAATAGGCAGTACTTCCTGTAGGGGTGGCCACGATGACTCCATCACCTTGTACCTGAAAGACATGATACTCGTCATACAGAAGGTATGCCTCTGATTCACTAAGGTGTTTTGAGATATGAAACTTCAAATATTGACTGTTCTCATCATGGAATATAAAATATGCATATATATATATATATATATATATATATATATAGAGAGAGAGAGAGAGAGGAGATATAATAAAGACACAATAAAACTTACTTTAGTTATAAGCCGATCATGTTCATAGCATTCAATCTTTGAAAGGTATGGATTAGAACCCCGATCGACAACAACCTCATTGAGAATATCAAATACTTTCCCCGGCATTGCTTTACCTTTACGAAAAATTTCACATCGGAGACGCATTCTAAGTGTAATGTAAACACCATCTCGTGTATTATTTCCATGGATGACTTGTCGTAAGTCTTGCTTGTAATCTTCAAACTGCAAACAGAAAGCAGAACAGAAGTCAAACAAATGAAAAAAAATAGTTACCTGTGCTATTTTGTAGTAAAATAAATTATGAATTTAGAAAGCTTACATCATGAGAAGTCAAAAAACCAAGGGAGCCAAGGTTAAATGACACAATAGGGGGAACAGCACCTCTGAATAGATTTGATGCATGCAGTATAACACCATCTCCACCCAAGCATGCTACAAAATCTACTTTCTCATGTAGATCACTGAATCAAAGACACTTGATATGTTAAACAAACATTGGAAAAAGCAAGGCTGTTTTTTAGAAGCCAAAAAAAAAAAAAAAAACTGCCCTGAAGCTATTCATATTCATAAAAATTTACAAACTTGAGTACCTGGTATCTTGACTATAGAAGGTGTGAACAAATCCAAACCCTGGAATTCTAGCAAATATATCATGCACATCGGGTTCCACAAGAACATTCATTTTCTCTTGGTGATAAAGAAAAGAAGCAACCTGCATATAGAAACTGTATTAAGAATGGATGCAGTGAAATTATTTACAGAAGTTCATAATAAATACTCATAATTACCATATGAATTAAAGACAGACCAAATGCTCTTGAATATCATTCATGCTCAAAACTACTCCAGTCTCATGTTTCCTAACAGATTTGATTCCTAGGTTCCTCCATGCCTTTATTACACAAAAAAGTAGATATAATCACTTTTCTTGTCCATTCTTATTGTTGAAACTCTAGATACACTCATCCCCAAAACATTGCTCATAGAAATATTTCAGCAGCCTATTCTCTATAGTTTACATCTAACTGTTGTGAATGCAACACTTTTACTTGACCAATATTTTTCACCTCTCCAATTTTCCGTATTTGAAAAATTCTTAGAAACTAAACTCAACAAAGGGACATACAAAATGTTATAGCATTGGGTTTTAAAATTATCTTCAATCAATTTTTAATCAAGAAAGTCAAAATATTTGAAGCTAGTGAGATTTTAATAAATAATAAAATCCATTAATCATAACTAATGGGTTATCATAATGAGCACAGACAGCTTTATTTACGAGTCCAAATCTTAAATGAAAACTCATAATACAACCTTTTAATGAGAATCGATACAAAAATTCCATACATATCTGTTACATTATTATATAATTGTAAATAATATGTAAAGTATTTATATAATGGCAAAAATATATATATAAAATAATAACACAATATAACATATAATTAAAAAATATTTTTATAATATTTATTATATGAACTATTAAATAGTCAATCCAAGGAGTAATTCCCAAGCTAGACTCGTTTATTAAGTAGGTTTCATCCCTATTTCAAGCTTAATTTATTTACTACACGAGACAGACCAAACTCAAGCCTCTTACTAAAAACTCAGCTCAACTACAATCCAACAACTATGGTTCTTTAGATTAATGGAGGATGAGAGTATACATAAGGTTGATTCAAGATACAACTACAAGCATGGAAGATGGAAATCAATGCCAATGCATGTCATGTTCAATGCTAAAACTTTTTTGCAAATAAATATATTGTTCTTGAAATGAACACTGATATCTTTGAACCACTTCATGCTTCTAGGAGTCTAAGAAAATCATTACCATTTTTGCTTCTTCCATTAGTTCTTCTCCCAGCTTTTTCAACAATAACACATTCTTTGGCATAGACTTCCACATAAGCATCTGCTGCTGGGTGCTAGGATGAGTGAAAGCCAAAGAAGATTCAGTCACTTTTTCTCTGGTACAAGAAAATCCATCTGTTCGAACTAGGAACATCTCAGCTTTCTTTCTAGATTGCACCCTTACAACTCCTGTTGTAGAAGCACACATATCTCCTTCAATGGATCCCAAGTCATCATCATTTAAGGCCAACCCATCCTTAACCGTTTGATCTTCAACCCTTTGAAAATTAGTTGTGACATTAATATCATCCTTCACAGTGTTGGAAACATTGGCATTAGTTATGTAATTCATTTCCCCTTCACTAAATCCATTCACTGTTGTCTTAACAGAACCAGAAGTACTCCCGTTTACTAACTTCCAATTGCCACCAACTGTAACCTGGGGCTCTCTTGATAGATGATCCACATCGGCAGATCCATTCGAACTTTCTGGAACTACAGTGTTAGGTATGGGATTATCGCTACTTCTGACAACCACACCTCCCTGTGGTTTCGTGATATTCATGTTCCTTGGTTGCAGAGAGCATTCCAACCTTCTGCTCTGATAATTGACAAAAGAGGGTGGTGAGATATTCCGTCTTCCAAAAAAATTTGACATCTCTCTTTTGGAAAAAATATCACAAGGAGGAACTTGAGCTTTTAAAGGGTTAATGTTTTTGGAGTCACTTGGAAAATATCCTTCCTCATTAGCAGCAGTGGCTTCTGATAATTCCCCATTATCAATAGAAACTTCAGTTGAGGTTGTAGTACTTTGTGCTTCATCATTATACTTCTTTTGAGAGGTGCTTCTGTCAAATGTTCCAACAGAACCATGTGTTGAGCCCAAACTCTCTTGCAATGAACTGATATCATTTTCCAGGGAGGATCTCTCTGCAGTCGTTGAAGAGTTCTGGAGTTTTGCAGATCCATTTGTATAACGGGATAACATGTCATAGGGTGTAATTGATGGATTAGAAACAATTTGTGATGTAGATCGAGTCATGTACTGCCTCCATCGGGAGACCATGGCAGATGTTCTCCAAACTCCTTCCTTACTGTGAACATAGATAGGCCTTTTGCTGCTATCAGAAACATAAGATGCAAACCTCACAACCTGTTCCATTGTAGGTGCAGTCTTAACTTCAACTGGGATTTTTACCAATTCAATTCTTCCAAATGAAATAGCATCACGAAGAGCCTCTTGATAGAAGTTATCTTTTACATTCTCTGCTCTGATATCTATAATGGTCTTATATCCTTTATCCAGTAACCACTTAAGACCTTCTTCTGTTACCTGACCACCAGTCCAAAAGGCTGCCTCTCTGTCCTTGGATTCTGTGTCCTCTTTAGAAGCGGATAAATATACAGGACTCCAATTTGCAAATAATGTGTGACAAGGACAACCCTCCCGACGAGGAAAACCAGAATCATAGCAGACATTCTTCAGTCTTTGAAGTTTTCGCCATACATTTAAGCTTCGATCATCATCGGGTATCAAATAGTTCTCAAGAGCAACATGCAAGCTCTCAGAGCACCTTTTCATCTCACTCCTAAAAAGGGCAAGTGGGGGGAGCTTATCCTCTGTTGTGCTAACCTCTGCAGCACGAAAGGCATTCATAATTGAGGATCTTCCAGAAAGAACATCCTCCCTGCCTTTGTTCACAAGAGATATCATGCATCCAAGGACAGAAACTATTTTATCTTCTAATTGAGGTTTCTCATCAGATGGAACCTCATATGAGACACTACATTCACCAGTCAACGGATTACATAGTGCATCCATTAATGCAGAATGAAGCCTTTCTGAATTCCTAAAGATCCTACAATATGCCTCGACTTCAGCAATATCGCCCGGAACTGGACCCATCCACGACAATTGTGATGGATCATTGGATTGGAAGGAATTCAAGTTCTACAAAGAAAAATATCAAAAAACAAATTTGAAATATGGCTGTCAGTCCATGACATGAATTACAGGAGTTAAATCATTGATGCATACCAACTGAAATATTAAGCCAAAGAATATGGTAAAGCACACAAGATTAACTAAAACAAATTCACCTAAGTTGAATTTGATATTCCAGGCTTTAGATGTACTCAGCAACACCCATTGTTCATACAGCAAAGTAACTAAGAAAATAAATCAAATGGTTTCACCAGCAGCATGCAATAGGATAGGCCAAGTGCACATTCAAGAAAATAAAAGAATGACAAAAGCAACCAAATTGCACAGAGATGAAACATATTAGGCATGTGCAAACATGTTAAGCAACCAAACTTCCTTGTGTGCTTTCTTACTTCACACCACAACGAATGAAGAGTTCACCGGCAGATGAACAGGAAACCACATTGCAATAACACGATAAAATGAGCAAAAATAATTTCCCCTCATTTTGATGTAAAACAGTTCAACATGCACAAAAAAAATTTCAGTAACTGATTATAATGTGTTGGGATAAAATGGAGTTACATAGTATTAGTAATAGTAAATGCCTATTTGGATACTTGGAGAATTTCTCTATTGAAAATAAAGAATTTTTTTAGAAACCCTCAAAAATTCTTTTAAATTTGTATTCCCACATTCCCCAAACAGGCAATATTGTTTATAATATAAACTTGTCCTGACAAAGCATTGTGACAACCAAACACAACTAATAAAAAATTATAAAATAAAAAAAAAGCAACATTAAAATAATTTCAAAATCAACCTAGATACTCTCATCGTTAATTCAAGTGAGTCCCAATAACAGTGAAAGAAACTTTAAAAAAATTGCAACTTGAAACTAACAAATGAAAAAGTAGCATAAAAAAAGAGATGGGAACCTGAGAGTCGAGTCCGAAACTCAACGAAAAGGAGTTGGAAAGTTGGGCACTGATGACCAAGTTGACGTGTCTACGTAGCCTTCTTCCCTTCCTCTGAAACTCAAAGCCCAAGCCCAGGCCCAGGCCCAGGCCCAAGAATGAGGGAGGGGGCTTGAAGAAGCACTGATACGAGGGTGACAGAGCTGCGGCCATGTCCGCCGAGAATGGCATGTCGACGCATGCTACCATCGGAGTTCAACGATCTTCGAGAATCAAATCATAAAATAAAAATGAGATTTTTTTTTTATATAGATTAAATTAAAATTAGATTTTAAAAAAAAAAATTGGAGAGTTAATAGAAATAATAATATTATTATTGTGGATGGAGGATAATAATAATATTGGTGGTGGAGGCAACATGTCCGGTGTAGGGACATTTGCCGATTATGCTAAGTTGTTGAATCTGGATTCTCGATGTGATTTGATGCTTCTTTATCTGTGGCTTTTAGTTATTTTTCTTTCTCGTTATCCATTTTTCATGTTCTCATTTCATTGGGCCAGGTCACCCGGCAACATCTTACTTATCTCACACTTGTTTTATATATAAAATAAAGGTTAAAATCCTTATTTAATTTTTTATAATATTTTTTTTTCAATTTCATTCTACTTTAATTTTTTATTTTAATTTAGTCCCTAATAATTTAAATTATTATAATTTGGGACTTCCGTCCAAATGATTTAAATGAAGTTAATTGTTGGTCACGTGAATGTTAGGTGGATGTCACGTAGATGCATGTGGACGCCAAATTTCATGAATACACCTAGAATCAGAACGGTCCGTTCTGAAACCATAACAGTCCGTTCTGCTTGCACATATTATGTGTTAATTTTGTAACTGGAACAGGCCGTTTCAAATGCAAATTTAACACACAATGAGTGCATCAGAACAGGCCGTTCTGAAACCAGAACGGGTCGTTCTGGTTTTAGAACGGATCGTTCTGGATTCAGAACGGGCCTTTCCAGAACGCCAAATTCATGCATTTGTTGACCAAAATGCAGCAATGTGATTCAAAAATTGAAAATAAAAATTCATAACATATCATAAATTCAAAGACAGAAACATGGTTTAGAAACTGAAAACAAAAATTCATAACATAACATATACTAAAATAGTTCAAAGAAATTACTGAGAAAGGAAATCATCTGGGTAACGCTGAAGGGAAACCCTAAACCACAAAAATTCAGGTTGTACCTTCTCAAGAACAGGTTGTTATTGTTGGGGTACATCATCAATGACTTCAAGGGGAAACATCATTTCATTTCATCCTTGACTGTATAGTGTCATAAGTTGTTCACTCCAGTTTGACTAACAATGAAATAAAACTTGCTACCATTGTCCTTAGTGATATACTGTATCGTCCTTAATAATACACTGTATAGCCTAAATGTGTAGCAATTGAAGTTATCAATCCCCATTGACAATATTACCAAATCTAGTGTTTGAAATGTTTTGTACCTTGGGTCTTTTTCATTGCACGATTCTGATTTTCATTTTTTGATCCCATTTTTAAAGAACTAAAAAAAATGAAACAATTTCAATTTTCAATTTTTCTAGTTCTAGAAATTTAAGGGAAAAATTGAAAATGTTTCTAAATAGTTTAAAAGAAAAAGCAAAATGGAACCAGAACGGCCCGTTCTGGTTTTAGAACGGCCCGTTCTGGTTTTAGAACGGCCCGTTCTGGTTTTAGAACGGGTCATTCTGGTTCTAGGTGTATTCAAGAAATCTGGCATCCATCTACGTGGCATCCACCTGGCATTCACGTGGCCAACAGTTAACTCCATTTAAATCATTTGGACGGAAGTACCAAATTGCAATAATTTAAATTATTGGGGACCAAATTGAAACAAAAAATAAAGTGGGACTAAATTGAAACAAAAAAATATTATAAGAGTTTTAACCTAAAATAAAATATATATTTATTATAATAAAAACAATTATTATTAAAACTGTTTGTACTGGAAAATACCCCCCTCGGCCAAACCTTACGTCGACTACCCCCCTCGGCTTAGGAAGAGGCCGAAACATACCACCCAAACCGAACACCCCTTTGGCTAGGTCAACAGCAAAAGGGTAACTAGTCCCCTTCGGCCTTATAGAGAGTCGAGTACTCATGCAACGAAATATGAGGGACTACCCCGACCCGGGCAAGAAAACATCAGAGTAAAGCGTCCAAACTACTTCTTCGGCATTGAGCATGGCCAAATACCCCTTCGGTCCTAAGAAAGACTGAACATCCCTTCGGCCACGATGACAACCGAGCACCCACCTTGGTCAGGAAAACGATCGAACACCTCTTCGACCGAAAGCTCGGCCAAAGAGCAAGAATGTATGAACCCGCATCGAACAGAGGCAAGTTAGCAATACTTGTCACACATAATTAATTAAAGATCAAGGTTAACTAAGAGCAGTAAATCTTTAATTACCCATCTCCCAAGACGGAAGGCCCACCAGGCCCAAATACGTCACTATAAATACACAGGTGATGGGACAGAAAGGCAGGTATGATTGTCTGATATAAAACCCTTTATTGCTCTGTACCGAATACTTACTTGAGCGTTGGAGTACCTTTGCAGGTACCCTCCCCACCTTGAGGATAGTGTTCGGTCGGCACCGAAGACTTCGAAGATCACGAAGAAAGGATAGCAAAGGAAGTGTTTCTAAGTAGGAACATTTTGGCACCCACCGTGGGGCTGAAACCAAAATGGTTCTCGACCCTAAAGCAAGATAAGCAACTAGGAGTCAGCAAGAAAACGCAGCAATTCACAACCTCGGGATGTCCCGAGAACCGAGACAGCAGACGAATCAAAACGAGGAGGGAATGGAGGAGTCATACGTGGATCGCTCCCAACCCCCCAACCCATCATCGGCCATAGAACAACTGAAAGCCGAAATGTTGGAGTTAAAGAGACTTCGGGAGAAGGACACCCACGAATTGTCAGCCTTGAGAAAGGAAAACGCAGAACTTAGGAGCGATAACCGATCCTGGCATCCATCCCACGGCACCCTCAACACTCAGTCAACGCGTGATCAGGGGGAATCATCGGGGTGGTACAAAGAGACAAGAATCCCCCGACCGCCTGGCAAAGCAACGACAAAAACTCTGGATCAGCAACGACAACAAGGGAAAACATCGTTTACTCTCGACATCGCCGGAGCCCGGTTACCAAACAATTGGAAAAACTTGGCCCTGGAAAGGTATGACGGAACCACCGACCCCGAGGAACACCTTGATGCCTTCGTCACTCAAGTCGGCTTATATACCGACGAAGACGCTGTCATGTGTAAGGTTTTTCCTACATCACTGAAAGGACCAACATTGAGCTGGTTTACAAGACTCCCCCCAGGATCGGTGGACTCATTCACAGCCTTGTCCTCTTGATTTGTGATACAATTTGCCACAAGCCGACCTCATCAGCTTACCTCCATCGCATTGGTCAATATTCGCCAGGAAAAGAAAGAACCTCTTAGAACCTTCATGGAACGGTTCGGGAAGATGACCCTATCTATCCGAGACCTAGACCCAACGGTGGCAATGCACCACCTCACCATGGCATTGAGGCTGGGGCCCTTCGTAAACATCCTGTGTAAGAAGTCACCCCGAGACCTGGATGATCTAAGGTAGAGAGCCACCAAGTACATGCAGATGGAAGAGTTGGCCGAGTTTAGGAATTAGAACGGGCCCGACCTCTTCCTCAAAAAGAAAGAAGTTGAAAAGGAACACCCTCCAAGGTCTCGCCCTCGAGATGCACCCGATCGGGAGAGGAACAATAGGGGACCCAAATATGCATAGTACACGCGACTTAACACCAGCAGGGCCAAGGTGTTGGAGCAGGCCCTGGCCACAGAGATCCTCACGGTGCCCCGCCGTGCTATGACTCTGCCCCATGCAGACAAGACCAAAACATGCCAATTTCACAAAAACAGGGGACACACCACCGAGGAATGCACAGCCCTCCGAGATCGTATTGAAGACCTCATTAAATTAGGACATCTTCAAAGCTTCACCCAACTCTCGGGCAAAAAAAGATACAATAGTTACCATGACAGGACGAAGTCCGAAAGGGGGAACCGCGAAAGGGCACCTCCGAGGTATAGATCCCGGGAATGCAGCAAGTCTTAAGAGAGAAATGATCAGCAGCGAGATCGGAATCAGCCCAGAAGGGTAATAAACACGATTACTAGAGGATTCCCAGGAGGGGGGCACATCCTTGGCTTGTAGGAGACACTTGAGAGCGATCAGATCGATCAATGCGGTAACACGAGCAGAGTCGGTCCACATGCTGCCCATCACCTTCACCAACAAGGACTTTCAAGGGTTCGACCCAGTGCAAGACGATTCGATGGTCATCAGTATAGAGATTAACAACTGCATCGTGAGGAAGACATTGGTGGATCAAGGAAGCTCAGCCGATATCTTATATTGGAAAACTTTTGAATAGTTGGGTATTCCCGAACACGAATTGACACCTTACAACGAGCCCTTAGTCGGATTTTCGTGCGAACGAGTGGACACCCGAGGAACGATAGACCTATACACCTACTTCGGGGACGAACAACAAGGACGAAGGATTAAAGTACGATATGTGGTGGTGTACGCCAATACCTCGTACAACATCCTATTGGGCCGACCCTCCTTGAACAAGCTTAGGGCTATTGTATCCACCCCTCACTTGGCTATGAAGTTCCCCTCCGAAGCCAGAACGGTAATCACCCTACACGCCGACCAGAAGATGGGTCGCGAATGTTACTTCGCCAGCTTAAAGGTACAGCCAACCCCTAAGCCTAGGCGAGATGTCAAAGTCATCGGCGATGTCCGCGAAGAAAGGCCGATTGTAGACTTAGAGCTCGATCCGAGAATTGAAGACAAACACCGAGTTGAACCAATAGAGATAACAGTCTCATTTCAGCTGGGGAGAAACGAAGAACAGGTCACTTACTTGAGTTCCCAATTGTCAGAGGTCGAGGCAAGAGACATCAAGCAAATCCTCGTGAAGTACACGAACCTATTTGCCTGGACGGCCGCCGACATGCCAGGCATCGATCCAAGCTTTCACTGTCACCAGCTCTCAATGTGCCGAGACACCAAGCCCATCGCCCAAAAGAAAAAAAAATGGGAGGAGAAAGGGCCCAGGCGGTGAAAGAAGAGACAACCAAGCAACTTCAAGCGGGGTTCATCAGGGAAGTTAAGTACTCTACCTGGTTGGCCAATGTGGTAATGGTCAAGAAGGCAAATGGCAAATGGCGGATGTGTACCAACTTCACAGATTTGAACAAGGCATGCCCGAAAGATGTTTATCCCCTTCCACACATAGACACGTTGGTCGATGGAGCAGCAGGTCATCAGAGGTTAAGTTTCCTAGACACTTACTCAAGGTATAATCAAATACCCATGTACCCACCCGA